CCCAACATACATTGTTTTATACAACTCCTCATTTCTCTAATACACAGTGCATAGAGAGATATTAATGGGCAACACCGCAGGCTGAAATAACGCAGATTTATCTTTTCGGTTTGTTCAGTTATTTTAAAACTGATGGTCAAACTTTTAATGATTCTGAGCTTACAGCCTATTCTCTGTGCTAGAACTGTAGCTGGTAAAACAAATGCATTTACTGGTGATGATGAAGAGTTTCCATCCTCTTAAATATTTCTACTATAGTACCCTGCAGAAGACAGTGCACTTTTGCAGTTATTAGTTGGAACTGTTTATCTTATTATTTTCATTTCTCGTCATAATTTTTTTTAACAAACTTACTATAAATTCAAATTTCAGTTTCAGCATCAGTGTTGTTTGGTAGCTAACGTCCTGCAGCGGCAACAATAACAATGGTGCTTTTGTATTCGGTGACAAATTAATGCTGGCTGTGTGTCAGAGTTAATGACACAAGTAGCAGTGTTGGTGGTATTAATCCTAATGTACACACACGATGCTTTAATGAGATGATGGGAAATAACACGGGCTGATGTGCAGCATGAATCTGTGGGAGACATCTGAACCGATTCACATCACATAGGATTAATGTCACACACACAGGGTCTTGTGTTGCCGTGATGGTTAGAGTGACACAGACAGGCCATGAGCTGTTAACAACTGTGAAACAACAACAACAAAGTTTGTTATAATTACATGACTCTCGACACGCTCTTCATCTCACATGCTGCAGACAAATATACATGATGCGAAGGGAGCTGGGAATATTCCTCTACGTGTGTGTGTTTATAGATGCACATGTGTGAAAGTGGCCTCCATGTACTCACATGTCAAGAGTACATGTTCTGTCAAACGTCACAGGGCAACGACAACGACAATGGGGAGGGAACGACAATACAAATTTGACATGAGAACATTCGGTATGACAAAAAAAATTCTTGTATGTTGTAAAATTTTAACATAAAGACAACATGGAAGGACTTTAACTTTGCACATATAATGACAACATATAGACTTCTATGCACACCAGTTTCTGTAGTCCTACTAGTGGATCACCATTTTGTCATCTCAAAATAGCAAAAATAAAACTCCAACGTTGGCTCACAATATCTGCTGCAAATCCAATTCTACTGATGTTAGAGGCCTCAAAAGTTGGTGAAATGTCAACCACAGGCTGTATTTTTTGTAGGAAATATGGATAAAATTATTTTTAAATCATTCACTTAGAGGAGCTTTCTTCCATTTTCAGGGGGTTATAATTTAACATTTGGCCTCTGCTGGAGCCATTTAATAATTTGTTGGATACAATTTTGTCTGTGTCTTCCTCTAAGAGTTATATTTCTGAAGATTTCCCAGTTTGCTTGGGGGTGAAAATCCCAGAATTCCCAGGTCTGAAAGTATAAATCTAAAATATTTTATAAAACTTAATTTTCGGTCCCAAATAATGCAAATGGAGACAAATTTTAAACTAGGCTTCATCCAATGTTTAGGTGTCTGTTCTGGAAATGTACATATATTAGTACACAGTCAATTAGAAAACGGAGAAAAGTTCTCTGGTCGGAAAGAAACAACAAAAAAAGAGTTATTTGGCCACAAACACCAGAAATATGTTTGGAGAAGAGAAGGTGAGGCCTTTAACCCCAAGAACACCAAACCTACCTTCAAGCATGGTGGTGGCAGTATTATGCTCAGGGGCTGTTTTGGTGCCACTTGAACTGGTGTTTTACACAAAGTAAACTGAATAATGAAGGAGGAAGGTTACCTCCACATTCTTAAGGAAAAAATTAAAATCACCCGCCAGGAGGTCGGGTCTTGGATGTAGATGGGTGTTTCAACAAGACAATGACCCAACACACACCAACAATAGTAAAGAAATTGATTAATCAGGCTTCAATTAAGGTTTTAGAACGGCCTACCCAAAGTCCTGCCTTAAACCAAATTGAGAACCTGTGGACTGTGATGAAGAAACAAGTCTGTCAGAAAGCCAACAAAATCAGCTGAACTGCACCAATTTTGTCAAGAGGAGGTCAAAGATACAACAAAAAGTTTTGTGGATGGTTACTGAAAGGGCGTAACTGAGGTGAAAATGGACAAGGGACATTAAACCAAATATTAGTACTGCTGTATGTATATTTTTGACCCAGCAGATTTTGTCATATGTCCAGAAGACCTGTAATAAATCTATAAAAGAACCTAAATGCATGAGTTTTTTGTGACAAAGACTGCATGTGATTCAATCATTCCATCACAGAGCATTACAAGTTACAGGAGTCACTGGAAACTCAAGACTGCCTTGATAAATACATGGTCTTTACAAGTGTGTGTAGACTTTTGTTCACGACAGTTTATGAAAAAAAACATTTATTGCATGCAGATGGATCAGTGTGTGTTACATTTTACTGCTGCCACTTTATAGTCATTTTGGTAGGTTGTTCCAGTCGTTCCCAAACTGGGGAGTTGACACCAGATCAGTCTTTGTGGCCTTGAGATGATTAATGTAATTCTTAATCTAAATTTTTGTGAGAAGTTACAGGTCAAAAAAAGTTGAGAACATCTGGTTTAGTCTTTAACAATTAACGGTAGTTCATAAGCTGATCGCATGTTGTTTTATGTAAAATTCTAATCAGCATGGTTACAAATAAAAACAGTTATAAGGTTCATACAGCTGAGTGAAGAGGAGAATATTTCCTCTGAACTGTAGTGGAGCAGAAGTATGAAGAGGACTGTTGTACCAAACATGGCCACAAGGTGTCAGCACATCTAAATGTAATCACCAAGAGCTCATCGTCCATCTCAGGGAGGCAGTGCAAAAAAAAAGAAGCAAAAAACAAATGGCTGAATCAGGCTAGAATTAAGTTTCTAGACTGGCCAAAGTCTTGACCTAAACCCCATAAAGAACCTGTGGACAACTCAGCAACAGCTAATTAGTTTAACTGAGAATATTTCTTGACTCACAATTTATTGAGAGAAATGCATTAAGAGACAAAAAGACATGCAGGCATTCACTTTGCAGGACTAATAGCGTAGATGGACAGTGGTATGTGTACAGTGGGTGTTTTCAGTACTCTGTTTATTTGGAACAGAAACGTGTTTGAGAACCAATGCGCAGAAACTAAAAGAAAATCTGCTAATGAATCTATTAGAATCTGAACCAGCTGTCATCTTAGCTTCAGTAAAAAAAAGCAGATGGATTTCTGTTTTAGGTTCTAGAAGACGTTTCACCTTTCATTCCCATACCTGAACCTAAAAGAGAAGTCCAGTTGCTCCCATGAACTGGACGACTGAAAATCTACATAAACATTTGGAACCAGCTCTAAGTTGGAACTGCCTTCCAATGCCCATCCCTAGAAAGCAGTGACTGAATGTACAGTTAAATGTCACATAGAACCAAAACAGTTAGCAAACAGGAACTGCAGAACTCACCGATCGTGTTTTACTGACTACAGCGCTAAGAAATGCTGATGACTAAAACTTTACAAATGAGTAAGATTTAACAAGAGGCTCATCAAGAAACTACCCACCACTTGTCTCATTAGTAACTGATGTAGGAAGAACGAGGCTCTGCTGATGAGCTCACATCTTCACTTTCCTAAAAGTAGCCAAGCAGTCAGTCGGTGATGCAGCAGCTCAGCTCATTTCAAACACCATGTAAAAAAACAAACAACAGCTCAGTAGTACAGTTAGTCATTAGTTCAGCAGACAGTCACAGATGAGTACTGAGTTAGTGTTGGACACTCAGACATGCATTGTTCAGTCCAGTTAGCAGACAGCACAACACGCTTTCTGTTTTCTCTGGATCTTTCTGATACCTGGTCCCACTCGTTTCTCTGTCCGTCTGTCTCCAACTCCCTCCAGAAGCCCCACGTTTCCATTCGTTGAAGCTCCCATTGGACCCTGGACGTGGCTCTTCTTCTGCTTCATGCTGCTGTTGTCACAGTTGTCCTCAGTGTCCTCGATGATGACCAGCTCGGCCTTCAGGGAGCCCTCGAACTCCTGAACCTGCCCGCTGTCATCCTGCGCTGTCTGGAAGCCCATGAAGATGGCTGTGATTGGCTCGGTGGTGTCCAAGGCGTTGAGGATGGTGTAAGGAGTGTCATCTCCGTAGAGGGGGGAGGGCACCCGGTCGCAGTGGGTGGGGCCACGGTACACAGCAGTGGATTGCTTCAGGCTGTTTTCGGTTTGGCTGTATGGCTGGTAAGATGGTGGGTTGTAGCGATAAAGTTCTTCCTCTTCAACACTGATGTAATCATTAAGGGGAATATAATTAGCTGGAGTGTAGCATAGCTGTGGTTGATGGGCTGTCACTACTTCCTGGTCATGTGATCTGAGTGAAGTGAAACCATTGGATCTGCTTCGATTTATCCTGCTACTGCCTCTGATGTTGGTGTGGTGGCTAACGGGCCTATTTTCCTGAACACTGTGACAATTTCTCACTTGGTATGAATTGTCGTGATGATCGATCTGGTTGTTGTAGTGATGGCACAGCCCGTTATGGTTTCCAAGGCGATGACGTTCCCTCAGGTTGCTTTGGTTGTTTCTGTCTTTTTGCCTGCTGTAATGGCTTTCCTGGTGGAGATAGCGGGGATCTTCATGTGGTTTTCTCGGCCAGTTTTCCCTGCAGCTGAAGTCTTTCTCGGCTCTGTTTTCTCTGATGACACAGTTACCGTAATGTCCTCTGTGGTTTCGGAGGTTCTCTCTGTCTCTGCCAGCTTGGTGGTTGTAAAAGCAACGCTCTTCCCTTCTGCTGGGATTTTGGTGACGGGTTTGATGCTTTTCTTGGCGATGCACTGTAGCACTTCTCAGTAACTGTTCCACCTCATTGGCTGACAGCTCAGAAACACAGCTCTGGTCATGTGACCCCTAGAGGTAGAAACAAAGAGGAAAACGCAATGACAAGTCAATGACGAAAGCAGAAAACAGGAGGTAATCTGACTGCCTTATGTCCCAACATATTGACAACAAAAGAACGCAGATGATCCCACTAGTGTGTTTCTGGCTTGTCAACAACTGTTCTTACAGTATCTTCAGCTTCTGCGATGTATCGTTCTTGAGGTACTGTGGTTAAAAGAAGAACGTGTTTCCTTCTAATTAAGCTCATTAGCTCATTGATTAGAAAACATATTTTATACCAACATATTTGTCTTTGCATGCAACATAATCAATGCAGTGTGGATGCAGCAAACAGCTACAAAATTATATTAGATAATCTGCACTATACAGATTACATGTTGCAGGAAGTTTCTACCATAGATATGTATAATAAAGGCTAGATGTCTTAAGGCGGCGTATCGAACGGGATCACCCTTCGGCCATCTTGATATGGGGAAGCTTTCTGGCAGAACCTGTGGTACATGAAGGAAAGTGAGTGATCTGCACAAATGTAAATACTCCTATCTCGCTGAAATCTTGACGAATTTACAAACAGTTTGGTTCTTTACAAACGTTATTAACGTGGCTACAATTCAAATTACAAAAATACAAATAAAATACAAAATAATTCCATCCATCCATTATCTATACACCGCTTAATCCTCACTAGGGCTGCTGGGGGGCTGGAGCCTATCACCAGCCAACTTAAGGCGAAGGCAGGGGACACCCTGGACAGGTCACCAGTCTATCACAGGGCTGCACTTAGAGACAGACAACCAAGCACACTCACATTCACACCTACGGACAATTTAGAATCACCAGTTAACCTCAACATGTTTGGACCTTGTGGAAGGAAGCCGGAGAACCCAGAGAGAATCCACGCTGCACGGGTAGAACATGCAAACTCCACACAGAAAGATCCTGGCGCCCCCACCGGGATGCGAACAGGCAACCTTCTAGCTGCGAGGCAACAGTGCTACCCAACTGCACCACCTTAATTAAAATATAAATTGTTGCTGGCCGTGAGAGTGTAACAAAATTATCCATAAGTGCAGTGTTATAACTACACCTCTGACATTTATAACAAACGAAACCGTTTGAAAATTGGTAGAAAACTGAGCAAGATATAGTTATTTAAAAAACACAAGCACCACTACAACACAGTGTTATGGGTGAGCGAGCGGACCGTACCAAGATGGCCGCCAGTGTGGCCATGCGATTCCATTGGCCGGCAGCGCGGACAAGACATCTAGCCTTTATTATACATAACTATGGTTTCTACTGTGTTTTGTTTTGAAGGCATTGTGTCTCCATTTGAAAAGTAACAGAGAACCAATCAAAAAATAATACAACGGATTCACAAAGTTATGAAGTCAGAGTAATCACAGAACAATTCAGTCACAGTGTTATAGGGTAGCAAAGTCATTCATTCAACCTTTTTTTAAAAAAAACTCAGAGGTACACTGAGGTATGGAGGCCTCATTTACAATGTGGCAGAGAAAGAAAACAAAAGATGTGGGTACGCAAATAAGAAATTTGGGTAATGGCAATGAAAAACAATTGAAAGAGAAGATGGTAAAAACAAATACAAACAATAATTAGAGCACTAAAGCTTTAAAAAACAAATGAATCAACTAAAACAGCTGCAAGTAAAATAAAATGAAATGAAAAACTTGAATTGCCTTAAATAAAAAATGAATCAAGCTTTAGATTGTTCTGTCATAGAGTAATGGAGCTGCAGAGTAATAGAGTAACAATGTCAGAGTGTGGCTGAAGTAACAGAAATACCTCTGGAGCATTGAGGGCGTAAACACACTTTCTGCCGTCGTCGTAAACCTTGAGCCCGGTGTGTTGGTTTAACTCTTCAGGAGGAACAGTTGCAGTAGAAAGTACTGTGCTCTCCCCAGTCAACGTGTCTTTAGTCACGTTGATCTCCATTGCAAACAGAGCTGAGACACACAGAAGAGACACAGGGTCTATGTTAAAGTCAAGTTTATGTTGGCCAAATGTCATGACATATACTGTATATGTGTACTGTATGAATACAATCTCAATGTACTAGAACTCCTAATTTCAGGGTGATTTAAAATATCGCATTTTGGTGTTCTTTATTACTACTAATATACAACAAACAACCAGTATTGGCTCTGAAACAACAATAATAGTCAAACCATTTTTTCTGTTGTGGAGATCACATTGAGTATTGTTCTAACAGGAGACCTTTAACCAGATGATGACACTAGTTATAGGATATGCTGGATTGATTTTTGGAGTATCCTGGTTTTGTGTTTGCACATATAAACATCACAGCCTTGTTGCAGAAATTTGGATAATCTCTAATCCAGGTTTTGAGACAGTCAAATACCCAAGATAATAAAAAAACAGGATATTGTAACATGACCACACTTTATTTAGGATTCTAATAACTGTCTGTCATGTTTATAGACACATCCTTAAGATGAAGATGTGCAAATTTCAATTTCAATTGCTGCCCTACGCAAGAGAGTAAGCTACAAGCTTTTTAGAACCATGTTTTGAGTGTTTGATACTCAGAACACTGGTTTACGGTGGAGTTTTCCTTCAGTGTTTTGGCATAAACAACAGGACTACGACTGAACCTCTAAACTTGCAAACCTTTCTGTATTTTGGTTAATGCAGACTGCACAAACAGATGTAAAAATCTCACTCTTTCTTGTGTTTGTTTCAGAGTATGTGTTGGCTGGTGGAGAGAGGCATTCTGGGACATCAGGGATCACCGTGGTGACCTGTAATGGTTCTGTGGAACAAAAACAGGACTGTTAGATTGGGCGAGTTTTTACAACAGAGTATGAGGGCCACATTAAGAAAAATATTTTTCCACAGACTTCGAGAATAAAGTCGTAATTTTACAAGAAAAAACTTGTAATATTACGAGAATAAAGACGTAACATTTAAACCAGTTGTTTTAGAACAGGAAAGTTGTTCAAATGAGGGCCGTGGTGAAACCAATGCTGAACTTGACAAAATGCTCCACAGCTGTCATTTGAACAACTTTCCTCTTCTAAAACAACTGGTTTAAATATTATGACTTTATTCTTGTAATATTACAACTTTATTCTCAAAGTCTGTGGAAAAAAAATTTCTCTATGTGGCCCTAATATGTTGTCGTAGGTTGTAACATCAGAAACATAAAAAAAATATGTCATGACTTACCAGGAACAAAGCTGTCCTGGGCTTCCTGGAAGACAGACAATTTAATTCAAATCAGTTTTTTTTATATAGCACCAAATCACAACATGTCAGCTCATAGCAGTTCACATAGTGAGATAAAGACCTTACACAAGACACATATCAGTAAGAGCAACACAATGGAAGCACAAAACTACAGCTGTGTGAGTGTGTGTACCTTGATAATATCCTCTGAACTCTTTTCCACAGCCCTCAGTCTGTTAAGTATAAAGGTCTCGTTGGTAGAAATCGTAGACTCCTCTCTCTCCAGAGACTCCACCTCCATCTCTATCCTAATACGACAGGGGGAGTCAGTGCAGGTTGGCAACAGTGCCCAAAGGTTGCATTACAATATGTTTGAACATGTTTGTCTGTGATGTGGTTTTGTCGGTGTTTCGTACTTATGGATGCGGAGCTGCAGCGCTCTGGTCTGCTGCTGGTCACACAGAAGGCTCTGCTGCTGTGTGGAGTCTGCTGCATTGTGGACAGCTGAGTCCTTCAGCAGCCACTGTTCTCTCAGAGACTTTTTCTGTTCAGAGGACAGAAGGTTCAACAATGTGGATCATGGACAGACTGGAAACAATAACACTGGTGGTCAGACAGATGGACAAACTGATTACTACAGGCTCTCTGCAATTCATACTAATAAGAGATAATACCCATCCGTCCAAATCGTTTACAATGTACGTCATCTGCTGTTACTGCTTACCGTGTACAGATTTATTCAAACGGTGAAAATGAGTGTAGCAAACCTTCAAATGCTGTAGTTTGAGTTTTTCCTGGTCCAGTTCCAGTTTCTTCTGTCTAATGTCTTCTTGAATGCGATGCTTCTCCTGTTCCGGCAAATACAAATAGTTACATTACAGTTAAAAGAGTAATGGAGATATATTGGTACTTTATTCTACAATATTCACAAATGTAAAGAAACGTTTAAGCTAGTAAAATATAGCAATAGGCATGGCTACAGAACTCTAGCAAGGTAGGGTAAAGCCTTACAGTGATGGCCTGGAGCCTCTCCTTCAGCAGGTCACACTCCTCCATACTGCTTCCAGACGGACAAACAGAGTGAAGACACAGTGGAAAAGAATAGAGAGAAATTTGTCAGACACACTTTTTCACAGTTCCACACATAAATGGCGGCATATGGAACGACAGCTTACTGTACGAGACTATCTCAGCATTGTAAACCATTCTGTACTGAATTTTCTAGTGTTTAATGATGATTATTAAGTAAAACAAGCAATACAAGGAAAGCATCAAAAGAATGTTCCCATTTATTAAAAATATCAATGGGAACATTCGTTATGTAAAGTCCCTCTCCAGATTTGGACTAAACCCTGTAAAAACTCATCACTGTGAATCAAAGTTTTATCCATGACAATACTGCCTTTCTGCCTTCAGAATGTGCACATCTTCAGAAGCCCCGTCTTTCTCCCAACTTGATCGAGCACACCAGCTCACCTAAAGCGCTGCTCAAATGGTATAAAACTACTCTACATTGTGGGCATACATGATACATACAAAGCAAAAGCAAGTTTGAAAGAAAAACAGTAATAAAGAAATGTGATGTCAAATCACAGACGTCTAAATCCAAGTTTCTGAAACTGCTTTGAGACGCCAGTTTAAAGGTGGACATGCTCAGCCATGACGTTGATCGCTTACTTTGCTTGTGACGTGTTCTAGCATGAAAAAACACCACATGAATATGGTAAGTGAAAAAAAAAAAAACAGAGGGGGTCTTTAACTTGGACAGGTGCTACTTAGTTGTCGTCCCTAAGGGTTGGCAGGCATTATGTTTAAAGACAATAAAAGTTCTACATTTCCTAGTTAAGGTTTAGTAATGTCCCTTCCTCTTGTGAGTGCAGATGCTTGCAAACAATGCAGTGTTTAGTAATAAATCAACATGAGTATTTTTACAAATCTGCATCAAGCTTGACGGTAACTGTACACGATCATTTGCATGGCTGAAAATCTGACACAAGGTGGTAGAGGTTTAAAATGAGAAATCAAAACGTATATGTAACCACACTGGACAAATTTAGCCTTAAATCAACTGGAATCAAGCAAAGACAAAATGCTGCTTCACACCTTTCTCTGATTGAACAAGACTGTCAGTTGAAGGAAGGTGAGTTACTACCATAAAATTGCCCAGTTAACGGAAGTCTGCATTATTTTTATAACTTTTTAAACACAACTATAAAACAATATACACAATTTCCACGACTGTGTCTTTCTCTGCTCTCCTACATTTCCCTCAGCTTGTTTCTGTTGTCCCCCCCCCAGTGCAACAACCTCAAAGAGCTTCAGTTATTGGTGCGTTCATTGTTATTGTAACTGTTGCTACCTCAGCTTAAGTCGTACGTCACTTTGTCAATCTATTAAACCAGGAGACAACTGCCTGACAGGACCTGTTGATTTACAAGACTGTCCTTTAACTCCAGCTGCTCAGTCTGTGTGTGAACGCTGACTTCTCTCCCAGACTGGCTGTCTGCCACACAGACCCTCAATCAGTGTTTTGATAATTTTGGAAGCAACCTCATATCATGTTTTAGCCTAGATCCTCCTCCTAACATGATTAAATGATCACATTTCTGCTTGGATTAGATTGCATGTATATAGTATAGGCCCAAATTAGGTGTTTACCATAAATCACTGCAATCACCTTTACATGAACGCACAAAACTAAATGTCTGAAACAGCTGCTGCAGGTCAGGCTCCTCCCGAGGTGGATCTGCAGCTTCCTGTTCAGAAATATACCACTCTGGCTTTTTATATACTACAGGGTCAAATCTTTTATTTATATCCAGCGGGTCAGTGGGCAGTCTGCTGGAGGAGTGGGAGCGTCCTGCTGGTCCTGTTGTCTGGAATGTGTTGCCTTGTTTATTTTGTTCAGGCCATCTGTATTGAAACATTATGAAGCACTTTTAAATGTAGGCAACAGTTCTGTCTTACATTCATTGCATCCCAGAGTGATTCCGGTGTGTATTTCTAATGCTTATTTGTGCCTGCAGCAACATACAATGAAAATCTGGTAGCTACTGAAAACTGACATGCAATGCTTGGTCAGATTCTCAGTCTTGTTTATCTTTTCTTTGGTGAAATGAAGAGTTAATTTGCAAAAACAGACAACTTCATCTTCACAAACCTTCAAAAAACCCACTTTTCCAGCGTCTATCTGAGACAATAACAATCAAACTTAAGTTATCTCTATTTTTGTCGTGTCATTTCCACAGAGTCAAATCCACTCAACTTCAGTTTGACTGATATCATCTCAAGCAAACAACAAAAAAATCAGTTTTCGGAAAAATGTACAAAAATTGAGTTATCTGTTTTTGCAAATTAACTCTTCAAATATTGTCCAAATTGATTAAAGGGACACTTTTGGGCTGAATTTTGGTACAGCAGAGACAAAAGATATGCCTGAAATACATTTTTTTTCTGGAGAAAAACAGAAACATTACAAATGTATTGAAATATTGCATACTAACAATAAGAAAAATAGAAAAAATAGCTCTAATGTCAGAAATGTTTCATGTTAAGATTAACCTGTTGACTCTGAAAAATGAAAGAAATCAAATGAACAACATTAAGTCATATTTGGTTCTTTTGTTCAGTGTAAGCTCAACAAAGTGTCCAGTCAATTGACATTTACAGTGAGATCTAATAAGTTGTGGCAGCATGAAGACAGGCTGTGTGACTGTTTTAAAGCCTCACCCTAGCAGCATGATATAGCTGATACACAACATCAGGTGCACTGCCAAAACAGTCCAGGTGGAACCGAGGCTCTTTTCTATTCTTACTTGGAAAGTGACAATAATAACAGATTTATGTAAACTATCCTGTTTCAGATGCTGAACTTCCCAGCAGCTTTTTTAGTTAATTTCCCATCCTGCAGAGTCAGCTGCATGTAGTAGTCAGGGAGGCTGTGTGTTTAATATAGATGTAGGTCAGGAGAGTTGATAGGGTTGGTTCAAACACATGGATAAAGGGCTCCACGGGGTGGAAGGTATTCTTAGAAGGACGCATACACATTTACTGCTTCTATTTCCAGGTCAGCATTTGCCAAAGTCTGTGTTAAACCCAGATGGTTGTTGTAAAGCATGCAAACTTCTCTATTGCGGTCTACTTGATCAAATTTTACATTAAAGGCCAGTTTTCCAGGCATTTACCAATGCTTTCCCAACTCTCTGGGATGTAGGGTCAGCAGTATGCCCTATAGCTGAACAAACACAATCCTAACATCTTATTGACCCACTGCCTCAGGTCAGGACAAAAGGGTCTCAGATTAATTTTGCTCTAAGTCATCTTAATAAACCTGTCCTTTCACAGTGAAGGAAGGGGCTCCATATTATTCTACCCTAACTCCTTCAAACAAGGCACCCAGCCTGTCAGCCCTCAGGCAGGGTTCAACATGACCTGCCTCCAGTCACAAAGACTGTCAGTCCAATAGTTCTCTATTTACTCAGCCTGTCTAATGTGATGTAGTCTCCTGTTAACTGAAGTGAAAACACATTCGCCAACCGGACCACCAGTGATCAATCAGCACGACTGACTTTTCTCCCACTTTTACAAACCACAGTCTGAGCAGAGCTTATATCAGCCTGTCAGTCACTCATGTAAGCAGTCAGTAAAGTAGTGGGTAAACTGAGCTAATCTTCTCATGAGGTTGTTAATCTGTGAAAGCCATCTGCTTGAAAACTAGTTAGAACAGCCATGTGGGCAGTACAACTACCATGTGCTCAGCTAAAAAATCAGCTTGTTTTATTTTCTATGCTGTGGTGTAAGGCTGGGCAGTGAGATTACTGCAAATACATCAACATCACATCTCGTCAAATTGCAGTTTAATGCACTATTCTGGTCCACTGTTGTACAATGTATTCAGAGCAATGTAAACACTACGCATCTCCAACATGTCAGCCTATCAGGAACGTTGTCAATACATTTCTATGTAGCCAGCAACGTCTTGAAAGATATGTTTTCTGTTTTGTGCATACAAGATCTACAGTATGTGGATCTAACAACTTTTGTGTGTTGAAGTTGAAGAGTTCAGTTGCAAAAACAGATAACTCCATCTTCACAAACCTTCAGAAAACCCACTTTTCCATCACCTACCTGAGACGATATCAATCAAACTAAAGTTATTTCTATATTTGTCATGTCATTCCTACTGAGTCAAATCCACTCAACTTCAGTTTGATATTATCTCAAGCAAACAACAAAAAAAAAAAGCTTTCCGAAAATCTACAAAAACGGAGTTCAGGTATAGATCTAGTGCAAACAAAGAGAAAACATCTGAAGCTTCAAAGGCTTTCAGCCTTTAAAATTATCTGAGGGTGGTGAATTCTTTCAGACTACAAATGACCACTGAAGTCTCCCCTTTTACTTCAACCATCAAAACTAGCAAACTCAGAGATATACTTTTTTCTTTTCCTGGGCAGTGAGGACAACAAACTAGTGTTTGCTTATGTAGCAAAAGACTTGTGTTTAACTTTGTTGTAGTTACTACAAGACTGGAAATCACTGCTCTAGCTCACACTCTTGCTCAAGAGCTGAAACATCTCTCCTAGCGTGGTACACAAGTGCTGAAGTACCCTGTCCTAAATCCAGTGAATTTGAGAACAAAGTTTGTGTGAAGTACATTTTTACATGTCTGACATAAATAATAACTTAAATCAGCAAATGAATGGCGGTAAATCAGCCTATAATGCACTCTGGGCTTTAAGCTCTGCAGGGACAAGCAGAAGCCAGGAGAAACTGAAGCTTAACCAGAATTAAGGATTTATCTCCACCTCTCCCTGTGTTGTCTTTCTATGTTGTTCATTCTCTCTTGTAGACTTAATAGTCAGCTAAGGAGTGAGGTTGTGCATTTACAATATATTTCTAACTATTAAGGTGCTAAGGCTGTCTACATAACTCCTAAACAACTTTACTCCTTAGCTGAGGGAACCATGTGATTTACCAGCATACCATTACAAGCCTTCTGCTGTGGTTTGAATAGTTTGTTTAATAGCTTTTTGGCTAGCTGGCTAACAGTTTAATTTATTTTGAACGATAAAATACTGTCCCTACATGTTGGAAAACTTGAGTCCACAAAGTCTACGTAACTTTAACAGATAAATTAAGGCTTATCACATCGCTATGACACTTAAAAACACTTTGACTTGAATTAATCACCATATTTCATGAAGAAAACACAAGAATAAACGGAGCTAAATTAGCTTACCTGTCAGTTGCGCCTCTCTGTCTCGTGCCGAACCGCTGAACGTCTGTTCCCGTGAGCGCGAGACCCCAGGCTGCAGGTGCAGGTGGGCGGGACTCTGCGGTGTGTCACAGTTGATTGACAGCTGGACGTCCTCCCATCAGCCAATAGGAAAGACGAACGCGTTGCCTTGCAGTACCCCCGAATTCTCTGTTGAAGTAAACAACAACAACAACAACAACAACAACAACAACAACAGCCACCAGTGGTTTCCAAACCTTTTTTATTCATCATGTTACGCCACAGATGGATCCGAATATTCCCAATGTTTCATGATAACTTCATCTGTTGTTATTATCCCTGTTCTAAAATGGTTATTTAACACTAATGATTACATAAAAGTGGATTCCTTACTTTTTCTATTGAACTGACAGTATTTAGGTTGGTTTAGTCACACTTTCAATGGCAGTTTCAACCACTTATTCATTCCTTTTTGGTTTCTTAACATTTATAATTTAAATATTACTTTCAGCTTTTTCAATATTTAAAACTTTTTTGGTAAACATATCTTTTATTTAACTATTCCTTTTAACATTTTCAACATTTGTTAATTAGTTGTTAATCATCTACAGATAATATAGAAAGATTTTAAGTTGAATTGCAGAAAAGTGTTTATAGAGTTCTGTTTGGTGTGACCGTAAAGCTATATTTTTAAAAATACACTAGTGTAACAATCTACCTTTAAACCAATTTAGTAATTATTAAAAAAGGAAATAAAGCTGCCTTACAAAAACAGAAAGCAGTAACTATAATGAATTCTGTCACACTGAGTGCTTCTTTTCTCGTTGATATTTTTTTAGGTTAGTTTGATGCTTTTAAAAAGCTGCATGTGGTCATGATTGACAGCTGTGATCGACTCATCCTCAGAATAAAGCAGCTGTGGAAACACCTGTAAACTGCTGTACATGAATCGTACATAAAAACATGCAAGGAATGTTTCTTTTCTTCTCTGTTTTCAAATCCTTAAAATGAAAGTTTTGCAGTACACTGTAGCCTACTAACTGATATTCTGAGGGCAAGTTTTATCTAAGTTTGTCATCTGAAGGATATCTTAATTGTAAGGTAATGCTATAGACCGTGTAGAAAAGGTAGATGCAGGGGCTGTGACATCACCCACTGGTTTGTGGACTTTTAAAGTATCTTAAAGCATCGAGTTTGGCACAATTAATCACATTGACTGAGAATCTTCTATGCATGCCTTTACAGTAGTGACCTGTCAATCACAAGGTAGCCCCGCCCTAAAACACACCTGCATTAATGTCGCTTTTCCTCTAAATGGGGTCATAATTAACTAAATGAGTCTCATGCTGTATTGAAGGAAACCAGCGATTGAGACCGTAGACTCATTAGGAAAATGTTTACTGAGGTAACAGATGAAGGGAGAAGTGGGATCGTTTTCTCGCTGACTTTCTATGTAATCAAACTTGGCCCTTGCTGGATGTTGGTAACAATGCAGATTTAAGGCGCTTCCACCTTTACTTTTCAGATCCGTAAGCTACATTCTTCTTTTACGTAGATGTGTTCTCACATTTAGGCGGGGCAGGAGGTGCAATATAAGCAGGCAGAAGTCTACTTTAAGTGATTTCATTAACTCATATTTGTAATAAGTGGATATACTGAGGGGATAGATCAAACTCTGCCTTCCTCTGTGAAACATGTCCTATTTTCTTTTGTTTCCTGATTTACAGAGCAGACGAGAGAATCCAGAAAGATATCACATCACTGGACAAAACATTTTATCACAGGTAAGCGAATGATTGAAACACCTCAAACCACCACACATCCATTCATATATCATATTCATATATACTCAGTCATATATTTTATACAATATAATATACACTAAAATCTGCAGACCTACAAGAAGAACAAGAAGTCCTCAAACACATGGTGTACCCCCACAGAACCCCGATCTCAACATCACAGATGCAATTAATTGATAAATAAAACTATACAATTGATAGTAATTCTGTCCCTAGTTAGACAAACAGCATAACCTATTATTGTAACAGTAGGAAGAGAAGCATGGGGCATTGCATGAGGGACAAGAAACAGCAAATATATCAGAAATAAATAATCTCTTGGCTGGCCTGTGAGTTTGAAGTAATTCACAACACTGCACTTTCAAACATGACACATGCTCACAGACAGGAAAACAAAGAAAACAGCATTTAAAGGACACAGGAAGAGAATTATCTTTGGTCAGTTTAAGCACAGATTCTCATTAGAGGGTTAGTCTTTGTTTTTACCATTCTCTACAGTGTAGAACAAAAATGACAACATCAGCACAATGAAATAAGATCAATTCTATCATGTAGCAAAATAGAAAGTATTTTAACAGATCGAAACACGTTAAATGTTGTAGATTCCTGTTCTAGTTTGCCTTGATGACAGCTTTGCTCTGTATTGGCAGCCTGGAATGGCTTCCTCATTAACACCACTGAGACAGCTCTAAGGTTTAATGGATGCTCTTACTGATTGTAACTGTAATTTTATTTTTTTTTTAATCTTATTGTTCTGTTTGTCTCATTACATCAATTTTTTTTAGCTTTTACTGTATGTGCCTCAGCATCACTGATAATGAGGGTTGTCCTTCAATGTGCTCTCTGAGGTTTTAGATTAAACAAAAAAGTTATCAAAGCAGAATCTGAAGTTTAAAACGCATGTTGCTTCCTTTAATATAATATAAAACACATAAATCCATGTGTGTTATTTCACAGTGTTGGTGTCTTCTGTTTAGTTCTATACTGTTGAAAAAATGTAGAAAACACTTGAATAAGTTCCTGATTTTCGAGTGTTATTCCATGTTTGCATGCTAGTGAGTAGACAAAAAACACTAAGCTGTATGAATAAACTACATAATACATATTGCAAACAACAAAATTGACCATAATGCAACCAAACCACCAGATGACAGCAAAGACCTCGTGTTTCAAAAGCTTTTGCAGAATCTAGTCAGTTGTTGGAGCAATAAACGCCCATATTGTTTCAGAGGATCCTGTCTTGAACATTTGTAGAACACAGAAACTATGACCACACACGAACCATACGACCAGCATGAATGTATTTCTATTATTTTACACAGTTTTCCAATCCAGGTCCACATAACCCACAGATTGGTACTATATTCTATGATGTCTGAAGTTTGAAACGTCTCTTGTTTACAGCATACCATTAACATATTGAATACACATGCACCCTTGTAAAAACAAATCATACCATGTTCAAACTGCTACCTTAGTTTTTGTCTGACCGCAATGATGCTGTCAACACCACATTTCTTTTTTAACTGCACCTGCCAGATTTCACTGTGAGAGAACAGCATCATCCTCCTGTTTGTTTGTTTGTTTTTGCTGTTTTTACACTAATTACTACTGATTAAAGTGGTACTAAAGGCAGCAGGCAGCATCAAAAAAAGAAGGCTGTGATCTTGAAATACAAAGGTCCATGTATTTTGCAGAATTCGTGCAGTCCATCACCCCCACGCTCGTGTTGTGGGGGTGGAGGTCATAGTCATGTGACTTCTGTACAGGATCCAGGAGTCTAGAAAAAAGACAAATAACATAAATTCAAAAATGTACAAGCAGAGGTTGAACAGAGCTGCTGGCTCTTCCTGATATATTTTATTTTTGGGGGATTTTAATGGTGCGTTAATTATCAAGTCATTCCTAATTATAATGACACTGTAGCAAGTGACTTTTGTTTTTGCTATAAATATTTTTAACTTATGTTATTATGGACATATCAGTTTTCATATATATTATGTTATATTTTGCAGCAGAATGTGTAAAAGTGTAATATATATGATTCACCTGTGCCACAGCGTATTTGTCGCTGGTCTCCACGGTGTGATTGATTTGAGGTGAATCCTCGTCAGTGTCGGCTGTACCAGCATCCGAGGGACTCTGTGGAACTGAAGGTCTCTTTTTAAAATACTGGACCACGAACACCACCTAGACAGAGACACAGAAGAAGAGACAGTTGAATCAGTCTAAGATGATTCAGTCAGCTGTTTGCATGACGAGACTTGTACATCACAAGAAAAATATGTAGACAGTCACTGTAAAGCAGCAAATAAGTAAGCCCAAGACAACACAGTGTCAGGGTTTTTATACAACTGAGGTGTTTTTACTGTAACTACAGGAAGAGCTTCATCATTTATTTTTTCTTACACTGTTACTGTGACCCAGGCTTTTGTTCCAGCCAAGAGTGTCGTGCATGACTCGCTGTTCGCTGTACAAAAGAGGAATTCGAGTTCATCCAACCAATAACAACTTTCGTGTGTGTGTGTCTGTGTGTGTGTGTGTGTGTGTGTGTGTGTGTGTCTGTGTGTGTCTGTGTGTGTGCGTGTCCTGCAGCGATTCAGTCCATTAGGCCAGGTTTCTATTAAGAAAAGAGCCTAAATATATTTGGCCAACTTACATAATGATGTACAGCAGCAAAGTGCTGGACAGACTCCCTAAAAGGAGGCTCAGAGATTTATTCTTGAAAAGCTGCTTCAAAAATGTGTTGAATGTGAAAGAAAGTAAATTATTCTAGATCAATATTATGATTTGCGTTTAAAGAATTCTCAGGCCAATTCATGGTTGACTTATGATTCAGACTTTTCAGAATTTATAATTTCCTGTTGAGCTTGGGTAAAGTCGATGGAAAGCCTTTACATATTTGAAATAATGAAGGTTTCCTGAAAAACACATTGATGCTACAGAAAAGGTCAGGGAATATCTGAAGTCTTTAAGCCTCAGTTCCTGGGGATTGTGAAAGTCTGTGCAAAATTTCTTGGCAATCCACACCATGCTTGTTGACATGCTGCGATCAATCCACCTGACCCATTACGAAAACAGTGTTTCTTCGTTTCCTCAGTTTAAAAGTACATTGAATGCAGCCAACTGCACTAAAGCATGACACACCAAAGAATAACTCAGCTTGTGGCTTGTTCATAATAGTGCCTATTTTGACTGTGAGTCTTGGTAGCTTTTCTCTCGACTTTCTACAACAGGATTTGGTAAACACAACAATGAACAAGCCCACGGATCATTTGTACAAGCAGCTTATTGTGACCCAGAGCTACGATTCATTATGGCAGCACCCTCTAGAGGCTAGAATATCTATGATGGCAGCAAAGGAAGAAGTGATGCAATTACAGAACCACAGATTTAGTGTAGGGCGGAGGTTGAGGTTGACGGATGGATCGACAACACATTGGGCTTTAGATGGAGTTTCTGGAGTGCTCTGGAAGCCAAATGGTTACAGCAACTGATAAATGCTGATGCTTCCAGTCTCACTGTGGATTTGTGTTGCCTCATTTTTCTGCCTCTTAACCACTGACTTTCCAATAAACACAAAAAAAACTCACAAAAATATGTCACCTATTATTACTTTTCACTTCAACCGTGCCATAATCTTAACAGTGTATTTAATGTTGCTACCATTACATTAAGGTCCTTTGTTTTAACTCAAATTCTTTTTTGAAACCAGTTATTTTAGTGCCAAAAGCAAACCACACACAGATTAAAAAATGTTTGTACTCTATCAAACGTTATGGTTTGCATTCAGATGGTAGGGTCAAATGACTTATCTGTGCGGCACAACACTTCTTGAAACCTTTCAGACTAATTTTAGTTTGACATGAATCATTTCAAACACTTGTCTCAGACTCTATGTAAAACAAAATGCTGAAAACTTTCCTCCATATTAGCTTGTGTACCGAACTCCATTGGATTTTTTTGTGGGGAGAGTCAGCGAACCATACAAGCATCGTAGAGTCTGTGTTTTCCAAATTTGTACACTGGAAGTGAAGTGTGAAAAGATTTCTTTTTATTAATTCATTCGTAGCATCTCATTTATTTATGAGTAAAAAAGCCTGGTTTTATTCTGGCCTATCTAAAAGCTCATCCATAATAATGAGTCCACTGATTAAGACAATTACTGTACATGAGTAAGTCTGGTCGGTTAGACTTTAGGTAAGAATTGAGTGGTAAAACTATGGTACACTAGATGAATAATAACTGACCAGAAAGACAGCGATAGCAGCTCCAACAGCTTGTCCTGCGATAACATCACTCCAGTGGTTTCGGTATTCAGCCACTCTGTTGATTCCTGTCAGTACAGCCAGACTGACCAGAGACAGACTGAGGAGAGGCCCAGCCAGGCGCCCTCCAGTGGAGCCAACACACGACATTACATACATCTGTAAACAAAAGATGATGTCTATGTTATATAGTAAATTTCAAAAGCAAGCATTAAAGTAAGATGAACTGGATTCCATGACATTCACCGCTCACCGCCAGGTAAACAGCTGGGTACACACTCAGTGCAGCCTCTTTGGACGGAAACGTCTTCCTGGCTCTCATGATGTCATCGGGGTTACCAGTGCAGGCATCTGATTGGCTGACGAAGCGCGCCGTGTTCTGACAGCCGAGAGCGGTGTAATTGGGCCGGCAGACAGACAGGAAGTAAGGAGCCAGACTTCCTGTGACCAGCTGTCCAGCATTGACAAAGATGTCTGTCGTGAACAGACCGAAGACGTAGACACCTGCAGGAAACATGATGAACACAAGTGTAAACACATCATGTTACATCTACACTTAAAGACAGCTGGTTTAAACCTTTACTGGAATATACAGTTGAAATAAATCCTTCACATCACCAAACCATGAGATACAGTGTTGACATGTAGCCCTCTACCATGCATGACTTTAGCTGAGAAAGTTACAAGAACAAGATCAGTAAAATCAAACAGATGGTTTTACTGACCATAACTTTCCTTGTTTGGTACGGCAGGCCAACATTACAGAAAACATTTTTGTTATTACAACAATTAAAACATACTACACAGTATTAGCCACTGATGTGACACTTGGGAGAACAATGATGGTCTTGATGATCTTGTTTTAGGTGATAACTTTCGATGGCATCTTACACATCGATGACAGTAACTTGATCCACTGTCTAATTCAAACTCAGTTTAGATCCACACATAGTACAAGTCGTGACAACCATGCAGGAATGTAAATGCACAACTTAAGGTGAGGAAGTCACGCTTAAACAGACGCTACAGGTTTCATTTACCATCATTTTCTTTCTTTGTATGGAAGTCCAGAGCTGCCAACATTACGGAAAACATTTTCATAATTATTACGATTAAATTATAAGACACAATATATATTAGCCACTAATGTGACACCTGAGGGACCAGTGATGGAGATGTAGTTTTAAACCATGGCCAAAGACAACACTGGTCATGTACACGAACATTTTTGAAGTGTTGATGAGCTTCATTGGAGATTTAAACACCTTTCCAGAATAATTTCTAACACAGCGAACATTTAGCTCACTAATTAGCTTTTATCACTTCTTTCATTGGCTTTGTGTCTGTACAGTGAAACGTGGTCAATAACAGCAGGGAAACAAAGGATTTTTGGTTCTTCAGTTCTGTCTATTACAGCCAAATCATTTTTTTATGTCATGTTTGCTTCAAATTCACTCTATAATTATATGGAAACATGGCTACTGATGAATGACACTCAGTGATAACTAAAATATGCAATACTTTTCATCAAATCAAAAATATCTAAAATTACAGTTGAAAACAAATTTACACCTGAATGTTACTATTAGTTCATTGACTGCAACACTTGTGTTGTCCTTAGATTACCGAGGAAACGGAAGGTCCTGCGCACCATAGGGTTCACGTAGCAACAGTCCCCCATGACAACGGCCTTCTCCTGGTCGTAAAGGTTGTTCAAGTTGTAGTGAAGGAGGAAGATAACCACTTCGACTCCTGAAATCTGCAAAACAAAATGAAAAAGAAGATGTATATGTATCACACAGGTATCTAGAGACTTGAATAATTGAACAGCTACTGTAATAAAGATAGCTGCAATCACTTTCATACCACAGCTGTTTCAGTGGCTTTAATACGTTTTGTTTATTTACACGTCCAACAGGTATGGAGCATTAGCGTAAATGTGATGAGACAAAAAAGTAAATCATTCTCCTTTTGGCTTTAGTTTGGGACTCCTGTGACAAATTTTGTGTTTTTTGCTCAATGCTCCACTATGTTCACCGGCTAATTGCCAAATCTGTCTGGAAAAGTTGTATACAACAGGTCTGTCACAGGCAAACTGCTGACAATGAAGCTAATGAGTGCAAAGACATGAAACAGCTGCCAGTTATGTCCATGAAACAAAACTTTAGGAATCATGTGCAACATTTTATTTTCATGTGCAATACTTTATTTTCATATACAACACTGTCAATATAATGTGCAATTAAAAAAAAATTAAAAATCAGGTGCAATATATCTATCATCTATAATCTTTATCTTACAGCATTTCTGCTAAGCACTGCATTTATTCTTGTTATATAACATTTTATCTTGTGTTATTACCAAAAAAAAAACCTCAGTGACGATTTAAAAAAAAAAAAAGGTAACCAAGCTGCTAAAAGATGAATGAATGAACGCCTACTGCCATCCGCTACATCCAACGTTCTGCAAATATTACAAGTTGGTTTGTCGAGATGAGTAGACGGTGTCGCAAATTTATAGATGCATCAGGAAATCTGTGAAAGCAACAGATATAACCAGAAAAATGACAACTTATAAGTCATATTAAATGAGAAGAGAATTTTTGGGCTTACCAGCACCACGGGCAGTCCGCCCACCACAGAGTACAGTATCACAGGCTGTATGCCGCTGTACTGCTCAGGTCCAGGATCAGGTTTGCTCAGAGTCGGGTCTCTGCAGATGAAACCCTGTTCAGCTGGACTGAATGTGTCGGTGAACTCGCAGTAGTAAACCAGCATCACCGTGGCTGCCAGAATCACCACCTGGAAGTACAGCATGGTCCGACAATGTGACCTTAACAACACGTCCCGGAGAATGTTACCACAGCGACAAGGAATCCTGTCTTACAAGCTCCTAAATATTGCTGTGAAGGTGATGAAAGTCCAATGTTATGAAGTCTTGATGATGAAGAATCCAGCTTTCGATCCCTGGTGTTGTGTCCAATCCAATTTTTCCAGTTCCTAGTTTCACCATGATAAATGATCCAGTTTCACTGATTCCACTTTGGTAGCAATTAATATGCAGTTATACAGAACTTCTGCTTAAGTTTCAAACCCCAGCAGATGATGATGATGATGATGATAGTGGTGATGATGAAGATATGAGCCTCAGAGATGGAGGAAGTCGTTCTTCTTCGCCTTTTTTTCTGTGATTCTGTGAGAGGGAGACCTTTGTCCTTCCGCTCCTGTGACTTTATTGAATCATTTGACTGCAGTGGAGCAGAGAATTTATTCTGTTTCACTGAACAATCTCTAAAGAGCCACTTGCAGTCTACTGAACACAAACTCACATCACCACAGAGCAGAGCTGGATACACCAACCAGCCACGACATTAACACCACTGACAGGTAAAGTGTAGAACACTGATGAACTCATTACAACGTGTGTTCTGCTGGGAAACTTTGGGTCCTGACATTAATGTGGATGTTTCTTTGACACGTACCAACCACCTAAACATTGTTCCAAACCAAGCACCCCCTTTGATCAAGGACTCTTGACAGATTTCTTCGCCACTTGGGGACAGCAGAATAAGGTACAAATTAAATTAAAAAAACAGGTTTACTTGTACGTTTTCAATAAAAGCATTGAAACCTTGAAATGCAGAGAAGTTTTTAATCTTGGCTGAGGTGGAAACGTAAGTGTTGGTGCAATGGAAACAGATGTCATGAATAAACAGTGACATTCATGAGCCGCTGCCCAAAAACAGAGAATTACTTCAAATCTCTGTGAAGCAAGCATGACCTAACCATAGTCATCCTCACATTATTACAGAAAACAAATAGAAACGTCATGTTTTCATCATGATTTCTGCTTTCATTTCCATCATTTGAGCTTTGACTAATGTTAGTACAATTACACCATCTCCTCGCTCTTCTTCTACCACCCAAGTGGAAAATTAGCATCACTAGCTGTTTATCTTGCAGAACCATCCTCTAATATTCACATAATTATGTTCTTTTACTTTTGTTCAACTGAATTTTGCACGACACACCTGTGTTTATGACATACAACATCATGTCCCAGAATTAAGGCCAACATATGAGCAACCAGTTGCATATTACCACATATAGCTGACAAGGAACAGCACGGACATGCCACTCCCTTATTGCTCTGTTTTTGGTCTCTACCAACCACTGAGAATGACAAAATAAAATCTGGTTACTCTAAACTTAGCAATAAGTTCGCAAGCTAGTTGCTCAGTTTGTCTGCTGCTGGACTTGTAGTGTACAGTGGGATCATTTAATCTAACGACTTGCTGCTGCTGGAAATGAAGACGAAAAAAGTGGAGATAGACACCAGGAATATCATCCATCCATCCATTATCTATACACCGCTTAATCCTCACTAGGGTTGCAGGGGGGCTGGAGTCTATCCCAGCTGACTTAGGGTGAAGGCAGGAGACACCCTGGACAGGTCACCAGTCTATCACAGGGCCACACTTAGAGACAGACAACCAAGCACACTCACATTCACACCTACGGACAATTTAGAATCACCAATTAACCTCAACATGTTTTTGGACCTTGTGGGAGGAAGCCGAAGAACCCAGAGAGAACCCACGCTGCACGGGGAGAACATGGAGACTCCACGCAGAAAGATCCCGGGTGTCCTCACCGGGATGTGAACCGGCATCCTTCCTGCTGTGAGGAAACGGTGCTAACCACCGCTCCACCTTGCAGCCCCTGCGCATATCAAATCAATGGAATAAATCAGACTAAAAGGTACATTACAGGGTGGAAAAAGAGCAGAATTGTCTGATAAAGATCTGTGAACTCCTCTGTAAGCCTTCTTAAAACAATCAAAGCGACTGAATGAGATGAGCGCATTATAGGATGTTAAATAACCCAGAACATCAGTGGCAACCATTTAAGAAAGCATCATATTTCAAACCTGATGAGGAACGGAGTTTTGCAGTTTTAAAACAAGTTGCAGAAGGTTTCAGCACATGAAAGATTTTCCAACTAAATCACTCAAGATTTTGGAAGCTGTAATATGAATAGAGATCAAATCTATTCACACATTTTTGTCCTATGTACTTATGTACTATTTGTATCCCAAAAGTGGTGGCAGGAACCTTTATGTAAAAAGATGTGTCACTGTTTGTAATAATTATACAGCTCCATTATATGCAGCAATGTTTGCAGAAGCTGAGATCGTAGTCAAGCAAAGAAGGAAAGTAGCTAAAATAAGCCTCTTCATACATTTGATCTATTAATTAGCTATCTTTAAGGAGAATGGCTTCCAGGTGAGTAAAACTCTGTATTCATCCCTTATGCTTAACTTTCAAGGCTTCTCAAGAGATAAATGCTTTGAGGTTTGTTCTCCTCCACGTCAGGTTCCTCCTCTATGTCTGTGTAAGTCAGTCAGTGAAATCCCAGCGAAGGTCACTAAATACAGAAAGAAGTTCCTGCTGTAGTGCAACGAGCACTGCTGCCCTCCAGTGGCTAGTATATGTAATACAATATCAATAATGCTTATGTTTTTATGGTTTAAGCCACTTGTTTATTGTTGTTCTGATTTTTTTTTTTTGTGCTTTTGCTCTTATGGATATTTTCATAAGGAATCTGATTGTAGTTTTACAAAAATGTGAGGTTTAAGTGCACACACTTACAGTAGCCATGCTTACGTGTGTGTAAACATTCTGGACGCATTTAATTTAAGCATATAAGTACCAGCCTGATGTCTAACAAATTTAAATTACAGTACATTCAGTATGTGGTCAGTTCATTTTAGCACTAAGTTGATTGGTCAGTAGGCAGGAGACAGACTTTGATCTGATGCTCAAACCAGATGTGTGGTGTCAGTTACCAGGTGATGCTTGTTATGAAAGCTCCAGAGGGCTGCAACTACAAAGCCAGAATAACAGATTAGTGATGTATTTGAGCTAAAAGACAGCTTTTTCATCACAAAGCTGGCTCTCTTTTAACCTGCTAGATCACCATGGTAACTGATGCTGCATAGCTAACCTGGTCCGGAGCAGGTTATGTTTAGAGTTTCAGATTGAAATCAGCTGTAAGAGGCGTCTCCCTTTAACTAGTTGTTTTTCTGATGCTTCTCTGTGAGCGATACACATCCACAGCTGAGGGAATGTGTTTTATCTGTTGACCTGTACATTAGTAAAACCACTGAGACAAGCTGTGCAGTTACAGGATCACATACTGTATGCATCGCAGTGCCATTTGTCACTCAGTAGGTGAAGCAGAAAAATGCATTTATGCTTGTCATTTGCTGGCAAATCTATTTCACACTGCTGGTGTTGCAGCTCATTGAACACAGATTTTTAAAAATGGTCTTTCCATTGGTATTTATTACAGAGAATATCCAACATTCACTTCACTTTGATTTGGCCAAAAACTCAAGTGATTTCCTTTGTTATGGGACAGTGTGAGACCTGAACAGACTTCTTCAATATTGTGTTTAAATGAATAAAGTTTAGGAGCTCTGATGTTCAGTTGTCCCGTTAGAAACAGGCGGCTGTATTGATGATGAATTGATAATTTTTTTTATTCTTCATATTTCTCTGTTAAAACATCCTGTTAACTAAAGTCAGCAGCACACCATCGGTCCATCTGGTGCTGAAGAAGAGTCAAATGTCCCGTTTTACGTGAACGTGCACACAAAAGCAGCAGAAAACCCAGTAAACACAGGAAGTTGATAATCCTCGTGATACACGTTATCTCCGACAAGAGTTTCCACAAAGAAAGCTTGAGTCTGTCAAACTCACCTCAACAAAACTAAATCCGCTCTATAATCCGCTCAGTGACAAAGTGAGCACGTCGGTGCATGTAGAGCCACTATTTCACGTGAACAGACTCAGACAGTCGTCCAGCTCCGTCATGCTATTGTCCCCGTCACCATGGCAACAGTCAGTCTGATGCTGTTCTCTCTTCCGCCTCCGTTTGTACACGTTTGATTTCTTCCTCTCCTCCTTTCCTTCTTCTTCTTCTTCTAATACCTTTTCTCCCTCCAGTATGTGAGGGGGATCCTGAAGTTCATGCGAGCTGGGAGGTTCTGGGATTTGTAGTTTTTGTAGTTTCTCTGTCAACAGAGCTGACTGGAGGTTCTCGTAGAACCTGGAGACAACGAAGAGAATCAGAGTTTGAATGGATTCTTATGAGGATACTTCAGACAGTGTCACTAACAGGTCAGAAGGCTTCACATCAACCAGCAGACTCGCCTGTCTATCCGTCTGAGGTTCTCCTCCATTTTCTGATTGGCTATCTGTGTCAGGAAGCGGACGTACTCATGCTCAACAAGCAGCTTTCCTTCGTGGCTCAGAGGAACCTCCAGGCCATGAGTGCTACGGACCGCCTGGAGGGACAAATACAGCAATAACCTCATCCCTGTGCAAACAACACAGAGTGGAAAAGCAAACAGGTACAAATACAGGCTGGGGAGTGCAATGCAGCAATGAAAATATCATTTCATGAGACACTTCAGCACATTTGATTTTGGTTATTTGAATTGGTGCCATTTAAAGCATGCTGAATTAGCGATTAGCAGTTAATATTTGTTGTTTACCCAAATATGTACAGAAAACTATCTTTGGATGACTGTAAAACTGAAGAAAATTTGAAAATGTGATTATTCCCTGGCAAGTTCTGAATAGTCTTTTTGTACCATGATTTCTAGAAGAATTTATGGATGTATGGCTGCTTTTTGTTTCGGATGGTCCTGCTGAATATCCATGTTTGTGACAGACATCATCTTGTACTTCACAAAGTTTAAACTCCCACCAACAACCACTGTGAGTATTTGTTCCCTCTCCTCCTGCTGTAACGTTCATTACATCTGAGAAGTTCATTCAGTGTGACTGTGTCAAAGCGTACCGTGATGATCTTTCCCGTCTTGCCGACTGTGAGGCCGGAGTTCCTGAAGCCGGAGTTGATGGCGACGGAGTGCTGCAGGAGAGACGAGAAATGATGAGATCAACACCTGAGCAGACACTGTGATTGTTATGGTTTTTATTGGATATCATACCACTGGAACAACAATGAAACGGAATGAAGCAACGTGTTTTATAAAGCAGAATGAGTACCGGTCTGTGCGACTGCATTAGTGGTCACGATTAGCAGCGACACATCAATGGGTAAACACTTTTAGCACTAAAAGTAGAGTAACAATGTTTAAAAACAAATACCATGAGTATTTTTTTTATTTTTTTTTTTAATCATTTAACAAAAAAATCACAAAACAAAATGCAGTAAGGAGACAATTTAAATGAGATCAATGTTTGTTGTGTGAACTCTTCACTTTTAAAACATTTTTTTCTTGGACAACTTGTCACAGTTGTTGTAAGGATTCAGGTTAAATGGCTAAACCAGTTTGAGGCTCTTTTTATATTTCTAATTCTTTCCATTAATGCTGACATACATAGCTGTTTAAATGGGCTGATCTCCTTCCTAGAAAGCAAACACATCAACCAAACACAGAGAGAACACAAGGACTGCATCCCTGAGGTGTCAAACAACATTCCCCAAGTGTAAAAATATCTTCTTTTGTCTCAACATGCAATCTAATCCAAATGATGTTGTGATCAGAGCCATCTGCTGCAGGACTCTTTTGTCTTTTTGTGGCTACAGATAGTATTTTATGACTCAGGCTCCATATTTGGCCTTGCCGTCCTACTGTAGATTGAACAATCATATGCTTCCCTCATGGTGTTTCACGATGGATAAGAATCGAAACATCTAAAGAACCGAAAACTTTTGCACAGTTGATGGAATATGCCAGTAAAACGGTTGACACGCCACTAACAATCTACATGAGACACCAGACCAAGAGTCGGAACTTTTCCATCATGCTCCATTCCATTCATGTAATTCCACAAGGTGGGCTTTTAAAGATAACTAACCATCATGTAAAGTGTGAGGAAAGCTTGATTAAACCACTTAAAAACCTGTAATTACACAGTCACATAAACTTTTTACAAACTGACCATCAGCTGTGCGTCTTCCAGCCTCCTGCACTGAACATGGAGAACGAAAGGCTCAAACTTCAACACAGCATCACCGCTAGATCGAGCCAGACCAGACATCTAAAAACACACAGACATGCAGTGAAGCACTTCATTCAATCATCATAACTAGTAAATAGTTCAATAACAGGAGTCCATCGTGTCTCACCAGGTCATCAAAGGTGCATTTCTGGTGTGAGACAAACAGCCAGACACAGTTCTGTTTCTGGACATCACTGCTTTGTGAAGCCTGGAGAGGAAGAGGCTGGATTTACTTTACAATAAAGACATTTCACACTGTTAAACATACATTGTTAACAAGGTTCCATTGCAAATAAAGCCTGTACTTCTGCTTGTAATCAGCTAAAGCAGGACTTACAGACAACTTTAGTTAAATCACTGTCTTTTCATGGTCTTGTTCCTTCTGTTATCCTTCAACACAGGACACACTATTAAAAAAAATCTCACAAACCGACTGTTAAACTCTGGTAGCAATGTGCCAGAATAAAATACGTTACAAAATGGTAGAACACTGTAACGTTCAAAAACGGCAAATGTCTAAAATAATGATAGAAAATTGTACAATTTTATAGTAACACAAAGAAAAAAATTAGTACTATTATTATTATCATAGTAATTCTAAAACACTGATTTTTTGACATGGATATTTAAAAAAATGTTTTAGTCAACCTGTAAATTAAAGTTTGTTTTCTGTGATCTTACTAGATATTTTAGTAATATATAATAAAATAACTATTTTAAATTCTATATAACAATTAGCAGGCTTTAATATACATATTTTTACTAAAAATAAGTAGCAAATATCTGTAAAGATACAAATATTTGGTTATTTTAGTCAAATTACCATTTTAAAAAGTACTGATTTTGTAAGTGGACATTTTGTTCAGTTTGTTTAAATGTTAACATGTAAATTAAGACCCTTTTCTGTGATTTTACTAGTTATCATCATGTGTAATTCAACATAACAGAAAAAAAGTATTTTTTAAACTGTTAATAGTCGTTTAATTTTTTTTATTTATTTTCATCATTTAACACTGTTGTTGTTGTTTCTTGTCTTCCAGTGCAACGCCATCTCTCTGTCCAACACAGTTTTTCTCCCTGAAGCTCTTGCAAGTGTAAAAACAACATGAAACACAGTTTGTCTCCACAGAGCTCAACAACTACATGTACCACAGTTTTGTTTCTTTACAGCTCTTCCAGATCAACAACAAAACATAGCACTGGTCTCTTACAACTCCTCATGTGTAATAATATCATGTTAACTCCGGTCTTTTCTCTGGATAACTTATAACAACAGAAATGTAGAACCACTGTTCTGTATAAAGTATTAAATAGTGCAACTAAAGCAGGACTCTACAAGATGTGTGTCCTGTAACTGGGTACATGATTCATTACGTCACACCTGTACATGTTAATATGTACATCCATTGTTGTCTGTAGCAACACTGGAAACTATGAGTTAAGAAGAAATTCACATTTGAAAAAGCCATTTGCTCGTACCACCATGAAGAGTAGATGTTTTATCAGTTTGTGGGGAACAGTCGGGACAACGATCTCTAGGTAAATACAACTATAAAACAATTTGAGAAAATACGACTGCTTGAAAAACAAAATAATGTGGAATGATGAATTTGTTCTGGGTTTTCTAAAGAGGTACATAAGTACAAGGCTTGATGCAAACAGGAAACAGTAATATATGAGATGTACAGACGGAAGGTAATAAATGAAACGTTATCTTACTTGCTTTTAGACATTAGCTTAGGTTCTGGATTGGTTTGTTTTTTCATTTTGTGTGTTTTATTTTCTCCCTTTGCCTTTATGATACTGTGGGACGTCTAAAAAACGTATTGTGCCGTTCCTGTAAATGGGAAAGGTATACACAGTCTTTATTTTTTGTTTTATTGTAGTTTTCAGCTCCTTGTCCTGCTTCTCTCATGTCTAACTTATGTCTGGGGATCAATAAAGTTTCTCTTTGTTCATTTTTTTTAAAGTACAGGTAAACTAAAATGGGAGCTCATTCAATTTCCTTGAATAATTGAATAAAAGAGTCCCTGAAAGCCTCATCCAGCGCATATCTTCCTGTCAGCTTTTCTGGAGAGACAGCGGTTTGCTGTGACAGCTGAGTGCCGGCTAACGCTCCTCTCACCCCGTCTATGAGGATGGTCCTCCCGGAGCAGGAGCTGGTGGTGAAATATTCCTCACAGCTGTTCAGCAGAGACACGACGTGTTCAATATCTCGGTCCACGCTGCCTTTCTTACTCTGGTCCAGTTTGTTCAGACTCTGTTTCTTCCACTGACTGAACTTCTTCTCCATGACTTATTCAACTGAGCTAAAGGTACAAACAGGAGTTTATCTGGATCTGACGGAGCAGAGAGCGGCTCAGAAGCTCACAGACCGAGTGTCCACACTTTGCGACACATCTTTAAATCCTTTTTAGTCGGCAAAATGTAAACGAGCTGATACCAAGACGCCATTAAATTCTTCTTCTACGGTTTCTTCCGCTTCTTCTTCTTCTTCTGCTGTTTGTGTTGCGTCTCCATCTTCTTCGTTGGTGCACTACCGCCACATACTGGACTGGATCTGCTGCAGACTACTGGCCGGAAAAGGAAAAACTAAATCCTCTGTCAAGCCTGTCTTTAAGTACGGAGCCCGTAAAGGGACAGTGTGGGGGGGAAACATTTTTGCGAGATCTCGCAAATAATGTACCCAAATCATCAGACACGCGTTATTTATGTTCATATAATCATATATCAACAATTTCCCTGAGGTTTGCACCAACGGGATCAATAAAGTTCTATTCTATTCTATTCTGTGGTAGCGTTCCTATTTAGCTGTAAGAGCCTGTTGCTGAAGAAGCTGCTTAAGGCCTCTACAGGTCCCTGGACTCCTGCCTTGTTTGATTTTTTAATATTATTATTTGCTCCTTTATGATGGTTTGAAACACTGATTTGCTTGATGAGATCTTAAGTCCCTTGTTTGTGGTTTCAGCGAGTGCTAAGTTAACATGTGTCCATTGCCATCCAAACCTACGTGAGCAGAGACCTGAATAAAGCTGACATTTAAACCCTTATTATGTAAACCGTACATTAGATGATACATTTCACATAGTATATCTTCTCTGCATGACTTTCCTGATCCGATGCTTGTGAGTGCTAAAAGACAATCAGATGTAGTGCAATCCATTTCAAGGTTAGCATTGTGGACACAAGCTCTACTGGAAAAAAGGATTTCTTATTCTCATAGCAGTAATTAGTATATTGTTATATATTAGAATATATCTATTATGTATTGTATGAAAACTGCAGCACCTGTGTGTTCAGCCACAGGCACCTTTGAACAGTAAATACCATCGATTTATCTGCAAAATGCTGTTTTTTTTTTTTTTTTATAGCTTTGAGCTACCTACCAAGACAAGATTTCTCTTTTACCTCCTTTTGCATGCACATATTGTAGAGGACATCTCAAACTACCAGAGAGGAATGGTTGGATATCGGACTGTTGAAGAATACTGTATATTGCATAACCTTGCATTTCCTGCTTTCACATTCCCAAAGTATTCCAAAGTCACAAAGTTGGTTTTGCTGTGTTCGGTGGTCATTTACTGTGTCCCTGCAGGTCAACATTCAGTCTCAACCTTCTGGCATTAAAGACCATTTTAGATGTATTCTTTCAGCTGCAAACCGTGTGGTGTTTTCAGAGCCAGCACAGAACAAATATAGAAACATATTAATACTGAAACAAGTCTTGTTATAAGACTTTAGTGTCTTGTTTAGTTTCTGTCTTAGGATTATATGGCAGGTTAGGCATTCAGTATATGTTACCATGGTGAAGTGAACCTATGTCGTAGTACCAAAAACTAAGAGTTTAACCTGAAGAAACCAAAACCAAATCCTGCTTCGTAGTAAAAACCTCAGGTAACTGGTAGACAACCAGCATTGGAAGCAACACAAGTATTTCAATCAATTTCCTATTTAAGCAGCTTCATGTTAACTCAACACAAGTGAGAGTGAAAGATCTTACAGAACATTTAGATTAGTTAAGATGCGGTACGAACAAATTTATTGTTTCAAATTTCTTTAAATTTAATATCAAATCACGTTGTAAAAGGTATGCAAATATAACAAATAACACAACAAAATATGATTGAAATAAACAAATAAATGAAAAGATGGCTGGGGCTGTCTTCTTCTTGCTGTCGTCTTCTTCTCCTCCTGAGTGGATCTTCTAGGGATGATGGGCAGGTTGACGTCTACTGTCAGGTGTTTCAGGAACGCCAAGGAAACTGGAACTGAAAACAAAACATGTAAGTTCATAATATACACAAATATACACAAATGTAAGTCAGCTGTAAATCTGGAAGCCTGAATAAGGAGCTTATTTTCTTACCTTCT